TTGATGGACATATCCTCCATGAGTTTATCTAGTTATTTTTTAATCCTGCTATAGCCTTGGCCTTCACAACATCCTTTGGCAAAGAGTTCCACAGGCTGACTATGCGTTGTGTGAAGAAATACTTCCTTTTGTTCGTTTTAAACCTGCTGCCTATTAAAGAGAGGAAATTACAGCAGCAGCAGGAGGTGTATTACATGAATGGCAGTTCCTGGAAGCATCCAGGGTTACTAAGGGAACCATGTGGTGGAACCTTTGAGGAGCAGCATCTAGCATATACTTCCTGGTGCCAGCACAATTCATCTGTTGGATTGGTTAGACCATGGCCCTGCCTTCGCATGCCCAATAGCATCTAGGCAAGCATAAGCACCAGGTTCTGGTTAGCCCTGTGCAGGCGTGAAAGGAACGGAAAGGGCTTCCTGAACCAATGTGCCCCCACCCACAGAATCTGGCCTTTAGTATTATAAACATATATAATGGTACTTTTTATTTACTTATAAAGACACACTATCAAGTAGTTTTGGCCCAACGTTCTTCCTACTTAAAAGGGAAACCAACAAACTGAATTCTAGTCTAGCTCAAAAACATCAGTTAAAGTAATTCCAGATCTTATGCAAGCCACTGAGTCCCCCTGATGATTTTTGTGATTTTACATCACATTTTCCTATTTTTCTTTAAGTTTTTTGATCTCATGTGAAAAATCCTCACAAACAGCAGGAGAATCTGATTGCACAAAGAAAACTTATTGTACACAAACTTCTATCAAATGCACAAAGTTAACAGACAGATGAGCAAATGGGTCTCCTGATTCCTAGTCCAGTGCCCTTTTTTCCATCCCCAGCTCTGCCACTGAAAGGGCAAATGATCACACTTTGCATCAGCTTCCCACCTTTAAAATGGGTGAATTTACCCTCCGTTGTAAAGCGTTTTGCACTCTGTAGATGAAAAATGCTGTAGAACAGCAAATTATCATCATTATTTATATGTATTACAGTAGTGTGTACAGGCCCCAACAAAGATCAGATTGCAATTAAGCTAGAACTGTACAAACTCATACTAAGAGACAGTCCCTCCCCCCAAAAGTGTTTACAGTTTTAATAGACATAACAAACAAAGGGTGGGAAAAAGGAAGAATTACCATCTCCATTTTACAGACAGGAAAATCAACTTCTAAGAGGTCAGTTTAAAAAAAATGAGGCATGCGCTCCACAAATAATAATGGACCTGATTTTCCTTCCTCACACCAGTATATGTCAGGAGTAACATCACTGAATTCAGAGGAAAATGGGGCTTGTGGTTAAAGCATTAGACTGGGACTAAAGCAATGTGGTTTTAATTTCTGGCTGCCACTGCCTTCCTGTGTGCCATTATTATTATTAACAAAAATGCCTTTAAATAAAGCCTTAAAGGCAAAAGTAACAATGACCTAACAAACACCAAACTCAGCAGAGAATGAAAAGCAATCCAAAAGGGTACTACAAAAAGGAGAGATTTAAGCTATTAAGTATCTATTTTTTAAAAATCTGTATTGTAAACCTAGTTGATTACAATTTTAGGGTTCCATGTGGCATTCTGTGCACACCAAACAATTCCCATCAACTTCAATGGGAGTTTTGCGTGCACAAAGAATACTGCCTGGGGTCTTTACAAGGTTTTCTTCATAGATCAACTTAGAGGTGAAACAGTTATTCTGATGAAGTCAGCATTCTGAGTGTACTGATCACTATGCAAAAAGGCCACTGCAGGCTGGATCTCAAAATGTTTAGGGGAATAAAGTGATTGTCATTTTGTACCCCAGATGAGAGAGAAGACTGGAAATTAAAATAAAGACATAGCTTGAATTATCTTAACTATGGGTTTGTCTGCATGGCTCCACCATGCAGCCTATGGGGGTGTGAGCTGCAGAACACCCTAAAGTATTGGGCTATAACTGCGGTCAAAAAACAATAAAGAAAAGACTCATTCTAGGGGCGTAGAATGTCTGCACCCTTATGGATGGATGCGATGCACAAAGGCCTGAGAGAAGAACAGCTCTTGTTTCCAGAGCCTTTGCACTGTTTCTGAAGGGTGAGGGCAATACAGTTCTGTATTGTAGTTTCAATGAATTATTTACTCAGAATTCTGTATTAATATGCCTAGTAAGGAATCTATTTGTCAAAAAAAATTTCTGAATCTTTTTTGTTGTCTGTATCGTTACGTACATACTTGCTGACAGGTATTTTGAAATAAATGACCAAAAATAATTGAAACTGGTATGATTATATTGTGTTATTTTGACAAATAAAATATGCAGAATTTTAAAATACTGTGCGCAGAATTTTTAATTTTTTGTTGCAGAATTTTTAATTTTTGGCACAGAATTCCCCTAGGAGTAAAAAATAATCTGAAGAGCAGTCTCCAGTGGGCTGGCAACAATTCTGAAGAATTTGATCAAGTGGCTCAGAATAGGACTCTCTGGTGATCTCGGACAAGATCAGCATGTAACAGGTTTGCTCAGGATCAACAAATTCATCTCCAGGCTGCACGTGAAAAGTGCCACACAGCTGCATCATCAAACATCATAAATACAGATTTCCAATGCCCTCAGTGTGGCCAACTCTGTGAATCAGGGTTCGGACTTCGGAGTCATACACATAGGCATAGATGAGAACTGCGACAATATCACCATCGTCAGCGATGGACTACCAACAGCAGGGTCTACATGAGATAGTTACTGTGCAACATTGCAATTCACACCCCCACAGTCTGCACGGTGTTTTAAGTTAAAAGTGGAGCTAAGTGAGCAGAGAATTTCATAGAAGTGATTGTGCAAGGACAGAAAACAAGGACAAACTGGGGCTGCACCACCTAGAAGCAGATTGATTTGAAAAAATACCTATTTAAAAGCTCTAGAAACATATGGGGCCAAATCCATGCTCCATATAACTCCACTGACTTCAGTGGAGCTGCATCAGAGATAAATTAGTGTCTGAAACTCTTCAAAGAAAATAAAACTTATTAGCACAGTGAAAACCTTAAGAGCTGTTGCCCACTACTTTCTAACACTGGGAGATATACTCCCAACTAGTGCTCCCTGTGAGGGATCTGGATCTAGTATCGGCAGCATCTCCAATCACTGCTAGGATGACTTTATATACTATAGAAAGGCAGACCTTCTGTGATAACACTGTTTCCAAACAATGCTGCTAACACAGAAAGATAGCGTACAGATACTGGAAACTTAGGAAAGACTGGCTCGTGCATGACTTGTCCTTGCCCATGAACTTAGTGAGATGGTATCTATAGATCCCTCTTTGGCTGTTTATTGACCTTTGCTTATTTCAGTCTTCCTCCATTACGGGGCCCTTTTGTCCATGTTAATTTCTTCTGTTATGGTGGTGGTGAAGGAAGTGTTTGAGAGAAGAGGAAGCTGTGTTTTACTTAGTAAGCAAGATATATTTGCCTCTTTGTATAAGTTCTTGTCAAACTAATCAGATCTATAAATTACCTCTCTTAAAAGTTGATAACTAGCTTTAAATGGGAGGAGAGGAAGGGAAGCATAGAGGGCTGTAAAGCAATTTTGCATTATTGATGCATCCTTCAGGAAGGGCAGTCTTGTTAACACATGAGACTGGGAGCCACAAGATTTGAGTCCTATCCTTTACTACAGATTTCTTGTATGACTAGATATATCACTTCACCTGTCAATTTCCTCAGTCTGAATTGACAAGAATATTATTTACTATACATAGAGCTGTGCCGCTGTAAGCTTGCTAGTGTAGACATAGCCAAAGACTTTGCTTTGGTTGTCACTGGCGCTGGACCTTGCTCTCCCTCGATATTCCTCCCTCCTGGCTTTTAACCTGAAAAAGATTTTCAGAAATTTAATTACCACCATGATGGTGGGGTCCCCCTACTCATATATTCTCCATCTCCCTTTCTCTACAGTATATTTTTTATTCTTTCTATTATGTACCTTCTCTATCTACTTATATTTTATATGGGTGGTTTGTTTTAAATACTTTTAAAAATGTATTTCTGAATTAATGTAGTGTTCTGAATGATGGAGGCTGCTTTATACATATCTTTAATCAATATACCAACTTGCTGCACTGGCAAGAAGAGCAGGAAAGGAGGCATGAAAAATCATAGGCCTTGGTCACCAATAGTGTCAATGAGACTCGAGTACTGAAGAGCATACAAAAGAGGATCGGTGGGGCACAGGATATTTTAAATCAGCATGGAAAGAAATAGGCCTGATGTGGAGGGTGCAATCCAGGTACCCAGTCTTTTGGTCAAGGTATACAACAAGGTTCTGACCATATGGATGTTAAAGAATCCATGACACACATAGGCGCCAACTCCAAGAAAAAAATGGTGGGTGCTGAGCACCCGCTGAGCACCCACTGGCAGCCAGTGCTCCACCTCCCCACAACACCTCCTACCTGCCGGTGGCCCCTCCAATCAGCACATACCCCTTCCTCCCAGTGCCTCCCACGCACTGCAGATCAGCTGTTCCATGGTATACAGGAGGTACTGGGGAGGAGCAAGGGCCAGGCACGCTTGGGGAAAGGGACAGAACGGGGCAGGAAGAAGCAGGGCAGGGGTGAAGGCTTGGGGGAAGCGGTGGAGCAGGGGTGGGGCCTGTGGCAGAGCCAGGGGCGTCAAGCACCCACCACCACATTAGAAAGGCAGCGCCTCAGATACCACATTTAATAAGTTTAGATGTGTTAACGCCAGAAACCTGGCCCAATCAAGCTTGAATATTACTTTCCATTTTCCTAAATTTTTCTTGTAGTTTCATCTAGGTAATTTATCTTTTTCTGTCCTAAACTGTTGTATAGTGTTTCTATGCTCTGTTAGAAACCTCCTGGGTTTCATTCCAGAGAGGCTGCATGTTTTTGGGTAAAGTGATCCCTGTGTATAATTTCTGAAGCACTGTGGCATCCTTTGGGATGAAATGTGCTAGAGAAATTCAAGAGAAGTACCCATTTTGAAGTGTCTCTCTCTCACTCTGCTTGCAGGTTTTGTTCTGGTCATTGGATTGGTGACTTTCTACCGTATAGGGCCCTATACCAACCTGTCCTGGTCTTGCTACCTGAACATTGGGGCCTGCCTCCTGGCCACGCTGGCAGCCGCCATCCTCATATGGAACATCCTTCACAGGCGGGAGGACTGCATGGCACCTCGGGTTATTGTCATTAGCCGCACTCTGACTGCTCACTTCCGCAGGGGACTGGAGAATGACTATGTTGAGTCACCATGCTGAGAGCATGTGCTTGAAATGGGAGAGTCCTCTGAGGAGACTTGCATTGGAATTGTTTTCTATAAGTATACACTGTAATTTAAAATTAAGTGTTGAAGGACATCACAAAGCTCAAGCTGAAAAGAGGCCCTCAATTATTATCTGAATGGGCTCCATCTATCTATCTATCTATCTATATGTATAATACACATAATTATATATATATATTATACACCACCCCTCTTCCTCTACTGTACAATGGAAAAATATTAGGACTTTACACCATATGCCAGGAGTTTTCAACTGTGGCAGAGACAGAGTGAGTGTGGTGAGGGTACTGAAAATGGGAAAAGGGCAACCTACTACTTTAAAGTCTTCCCTTATTTTGAATGAAGTTATCCTGCTCCCTAATGACAATGCAACAAGATCAAGGGCTCAGCTGTGTTCACAATCCTCCTTTGGACCCAACAGACAGACAGTCTGACAGAGCAGGAAATTTTTCATGGGTGTCAAAATTTACAACAGCATAGTTTAGGCTTAGGTAATGTTTCCTTTAAGGTGAGTATCACATACCCAATTTTTAGGAACATCTAACTTCGCTGTAACATTTCTTCCACACTGAAGCATAGAACACAATCTATTACCCCAGAAGCAAGTAATATAATTCTAAATTATATTTGTAAATATATGGGAATGCAAAAAATTAGGGTGAGTTTTCAGACACTGTTTTGTCCTTAAAAATAGAGGCTTTGGGAGTGTTTAAGTTAATTTTGCAGGCAGCTAGAGGTGCCATTAACACGAAAGAGAGGTACACAGCTAGAACTTCCTACACACTGTGTTGAAAGTGCATTCCATTGTTTACACTGTGGGTTAATATCTATGAGAAGAGCTTTTACCGTGACCTCCCCATACCCCCAAATATACTATTAACTTATTTTGTTAGAAATGGCTACTATGAATGAATTATCCTAAATTATCTTTTCCCAGAAAGTGTGCAAAGTTGGCATGCAATTTTCAAACTTGGGTGCCTAAGTCAGCATGTTCATTCTGCACATAGGCACCTAAAGCAGATACTTGGGAGCATAATCACCACACAAATGCAAATCAGAGCACCCAAATTTGAGAACTAGGCATTTAAGAATTGATTCTTGCAGGTCAGACCCCACAGTGCCAAATAAATTGGTGAGAGTTGAAGATATTCAGCACCTTGCATGATCAGACCTCTACTGCATAAGTGTGACGCTATACACAGGGGTGGGCAAACTTTTTGGCCTGAGGGCTACATTGAGTTTCCAAAATTGTATGGCGGGCCAGTTAGGGGAGGTTGTGTCTCCCCAAACAGCCAGGCATGGCTTGGCCCAGCACCCGCCTCCTATCCAACCCCCCTGCTTCTCGCTCCCTGATGGCTCCCCCGGGACTCCTGCCCCTCCAACCCTCCCTGTTCTCTGTCCTCTGCCCACCCCCAGACCCCCACCCCTGACTGCCCCCTGCCGCCAAATCCAACCCCCCCTCATTCCTGACTGCCCCCCCGGAACCCCTGCCCCATCCAACCCCCCCGTCTCCTGCCCTCTGACCACCCCGACCCCTGACCATCCCCCCCCCAACTCCCCTGCCCTCTATCCAACCCCCACTGCTCCCTGCCCTCTTACCACACTGCCTGGTGCACCAGTGACTGGCAGTGCTACAGCCACATCACCCAGAGCACCAGGTCAGGCCGCGACGCTGCAACTGCGCTGCCTGGCTGCCCAGAGCATTGCGCCGGCGGCACGGTGCGCTGAGGCTGCGGGGGAGGGGAAACAGCAGGGGAGGGGCTGGGGACTAGCCTCCCGGGCCAGGAGCTCAGAGGCCGGGCAGAGGGTCCCGTGGGCCGGATGTGGCCCATGGGCCGTAGTTTGCCCACCTCTGCGCTATACAGCATGATGGCTCACGTCAACAATGTGCATGTAGTATCAGGCAACAAACCAACAAGCCAAAAACTACACTGCAGAAGTCCCTAAATACAAGAGTTAGAAAAGGACAAGCAGCAATGAGAAATGTTTTTTAAAACTTTCAGTAGATGTTACCTTGATCATACTCACTGATAAGACTGAATGACTATGAGCTGCGAACATTATAAAATCTCTCTCTGAGGCTGTGCTGCTGCTCCCAGCTGAATTCTGTGCTTTTCATCTTTGTCACTGTCTCCTTTATATTTCGCTTCACTTTGTTAAAAAGTGATCAAGTGGCTCTTAAATTCTGTTCTGCACCCAAAATTTCACGTAATAAGGAATGCAGCCCCAGTTGCCACTCTGCACGATGCCCAAAGTCAGTAGCGCTCTACAGAGCTTGATGCTCTAGAACCAAGGACTTCTAGAATTTAGCCCCCCACAATGCCTTGCTCTAGACAATCAGAGCAGAGTTCTATAAAGCTGATAAGAAGTTTTTTCTTACACCAGTTTATAAAAACCAGCTGAAGTTTGTTTCCATTTCCCTGACTTATTTTACAAAAAAGCAAGGTATTTTCTAAAAATAATTGTGCTATATTTACAGTTTTTAAAAATAAAGTATTGGAATATTTAAGACATATTATTTCAGCTAATATTGCAATATCTATATTATAATATGTACATTAAAATTTAAAAGTCACCTATGTGGTCAGTAACATTGTAATACTTGGTATTACTGTGTTTATTTTAAATGTATAAATAAAGTGGAAAGTGTTCAATTCCCTGTATATGATGTACTTTGTATTTGAATGGCAAATAATAAGACCAATCATTATCAATCATGTTTTGGCTGTTTAACAAAAGAGAATCCACATGGTCAGAATGTTTTATTTGCAAATCTGACCTTGAAAAGTGACGGCTATCCTTCTGAGACATTTGAAAACCAATTATTTTCATCAGTGGTGCATTGTGACAACAAGTCACAAGGTGTGCATTTACCCCAGACATCTGAATCCATCAGGTGCAGTGAAAGGCCCAAGACCAGAGGCCAAGTGTTTTCAACAGACCAAGAAATGCAGATGTTTAGTTTAGTCCTGATTTGTGCAGCTGTACCAAATGCCTGAACTGCATCTTTCAGCACATACATTAATATTTTCATAATATCCATTTTGTAATGAATCATGATTCAGGTTAGATGATATTATGGTTTATTGAATACATCTACCTACAGTAGGAAAGGAGCCTGAGACATAGCCCTTGTATCCAAGACCTGGTGTGAGGCCTGCGGCCTGAATAAAAAGTAGCTGTCAAGCTTTGCTGATATAGAGCAAAGTAGCCAAGTTAGCCGAAGTCAAGCTCTGCCTGCTTGCAAGCTCACAGAACCTGGCAAGAACAGGGCTGGTATTGCAAAAAAACACATAGATTCATAAGAAAGGCTAGGCACAGGACACTCATACAAACACATTCCAGAAGGATGGTATCAGAACAGCCTGATAGTCAATATGGTACAAACACTCGCCCCACCCCCAAAGATAACAAGAACTACAATACAGAACCGTATTTCCCGCACCCTTCAGAAACAGTGCAAAGGCTCTGGAAACAAGAGCTGTTCTTCTCTCAGGCCTTTGTGCATCGCATCCATCCATAAGGGTGCAGACATTCTACGCCCCTAGAATGAGTCTTTTCTTTATTGTTTTTTGACCGCAGTTATAGCCCAATACTTTAGGGTGTTCTGCAGCTCACACCCCCATAGGCTGCATGGTGGAGCCATGCAGACAAACCCATAGTTAAGATAATTCAAGCTATGTCTTTATTTTAATTTCCAGTCTTTTCTCTCATCTGGGGTACAAAATGACAATCACTTTATTCCCCTAAACATTTTGAGATCCAGCCTGCAGTGGCCTTTTTGCATAGAGATCAGTACACTCAGAATGCTGACTTCATCAGAATAACTGTTTCACCTCTAAGTTGATCTATGAAGAAAACCTTGTGAAGACCCCAGGCAGTATTCTTTGTGCACGCAAAACTCCCATTGAAGTTGATGGGAATTGTTTGGTGTGCACAGAATGCCACATGGAACCCTAAAATTGTAACCAACTAGGTTTACAATACAGATTTTTAAAAAATAGATACTTAATAGCTTAAATCTCTCCTTTTTGTAGTACCCTTTTGGATTGCTTTTCATTCTCTGCTGAGTTTGGTGTTTGTTAGGTCATTGTTACTTTTGCCTTTAAGGCTTTATTTAAAGGCATTTTTGTTAATAATAATAATAATAATAATGGCACACAGGAAGGCAGTGGCAGCCAGAAATTAAAACCACATTGCTTTAGTCCCAGTCTAATGCTTTAACCACAAGCCACATTTTCCTCTGAATTCAGTGATGTTACTCCTGACATACAGTTCTAAATTTAACAACTGGCCAAAAGTGGCGCCTTAGGCACCGACTCCATGGGTGCTCCAGCAGAGCACCCACCGGCAGCTCCCTGCCCCGGCCTGCGCCTGGCCCCAGCTCACCTCCATTCTGCCTCCGCCTCCTCCCCTGAATGCACCGCCCCGCTCTGCTTCTCTGCTCCCCCCAGGCTTCCTGTGAATCAGCTGTTCACGCGGGAAGCTGGGGCAGGCTGAGAAGCAGGCCGCCGGCTTCCTGCTCAGGCTCAGGGATGCGCAGGTGAGCTGAGGCGGGGGGCGTGAGGAGGGCTGTCCACGCTGCAGCAGGTAACCCGGGGGGTGCACAGGGGAACCGCTCCCCGCCCAGCTCACCTCCACCACCCTGGGCCTGAGTGCGAAGCTGCCGCCTGCTTCTCAGCCCTCCCAGGCTTCCCACGGGAACAGCTGATTTGCGGGAAGCTGGGGGAGAGGGAGCAGGGCGATGTGTTCAGGGGAGGAGGTGGAGCTGGAGCGGAGGTGAGCTGGGGCCAGGCACAGCAGGGAGCTGCTGGTGGGTGCTTTGCCCTGGAGCACCCACGGAATCGGCACTTAAGGCGCCACTTTTGATGTGATCAGTGGGGGGAGCTGCCGCTACGCTACCCCGCCCCTAGGAGCCAGAGGGACCTGCCGGATGCTTCCTGGAAGATGCCCCAGGTAAGCACCGGCGAGACTCCCCACCTTTCCCCCCAGCAGGTCCCTCTGGCTCTTAGGGGCGGGGTGGGCACCCACTACGGTGGCCCACAAGACCCTCCAGCCTGGTTCTGGGGACAGTCAGGGGACAGGGGAGGTGGGTGGATAGGGCAGGGGTCCCGGGGGGGGGCGTCAAGGAATGCGGGGGGTTGGATGGGGCAGGAATCCTGGGGAGCGGGGGTGGGCAACGACCCCCTTGTGGGGTGAGGAGGGAACCGGTTGTTAAGATTTTGGCAGCTCATCACTGCCTATAACCACTGAGCCGGGGCATTAGGACCGTGCTTCGCTGATAATAAACCTCACGGAGTGCCTTCATACCTTAACAGATTTTGTGGTCATTGGGCAGTTTGCTTGAGGTCTGCTGTACCAGCTGTCTATGCAGAGCTGGGACAGCACACAGAAAGAACACACACGCAGTCAACATCTGACAACATTACTAATTAATAGCATTAAAAGTAACATGAGCATGGGTACTAAGATGAGATGTCCATTATCATACGGACATAGAAGTCCATTTGACTGCTGCTGACCATGCCAGGTACATCCCATCTGCTGTTCTGCTAGATGCACTAGGTATGTCCTGACATTTCATTGTTCTCAATGGATGACACCACCATGACAGGTATAGTACAAGACCAGCAGAGAAAAAGTTAATATAATACCCAAAGGGTAAAGGTTTCAGCTTGTTTAGGACGACAGAGTGTGAATGAGGGCAAAGAGAAGGAGGAAAAATTAAAGAAGTGTAAAGGGAACAAAACTTCATATGACTCAAGTGAAAATAAATCCCACCACTAAATGAGTCATTACAAATGTTTAGATCCCACCTTTTGATGAGTTTGATGGATTTGAAGGCCTCATCCATGTCCCCAATTGTTAGATAGAAGCTGAAGTTCAGCATAGCTTCTCGGGTAGTTTTGTCACACTCTTCCAGACCAATGAAATCTCTCATGGGCCTTTTGGCAACCATTTGAGGGAGTTGTACTGAGCCAGATTCCACTTGTGCTTCTTTCTCAGCTTCTCCTGGCTGAAAGGAAAACCACCATCACTCAGGTGCCAAGCGGGCTTCAACACACTCCCCTGACCTACAAATACAGAATTCTACAAGATTTTAACCATATGACTACTTGAAGTCAATGACAGAACTCCCTTAAATGGGAGAAGGATCAAACTCTTACAGTTGTCAGAATAATTAATACTATACTACTTTTCAAAGTGCCTTTTAATATAGGAAGGAGCGTCTCTAAAGATTACTAAAGCACATAAGTCATTAGGCTCAACATTTGAATTTCTTCAGTTACAGATAAGAGGTTTGTACAGTATCCCAGAACGAGCAGGAGTAACCATTACAGGTAAGGTTTCATTATAGTTTCTAAGTTTCTATGATTGATCTCTGCCCAATGGTGAATTTATGTTTTAAGTTAACTATCCAGATCTTCTTATTTTTTACTCCTGTCTTCATATGAGGAATCCCATTATTAGTACTCAGATTTACAACCATATTCCACAAAAATGGCAACTTTGGAGTCCCTAGAGCCTCAGTAAGATCTAAATTACAACTCCACTCAGAGCCACAACAGGGCAATTTAACTATTCTTCTGAAAAAAACAAGAGGAATCCCTTTGTTGTGTCACCAGCATCAAATAGCCTCTTTAGACTTTAAGAATTAACTTTTCACAAGCCAAACACAATAAAACATCTTGGTCTGAGCCAGTGATGAGCTGGAGCCGGTTCGCACCGGTTCACTAGAACCGGCGAGGGACAACCGGTTCTAAAAGGGCTTCTAAATTTAATTGGCCAAAAGTGGCGCCTTAGGTGCCACCTCCACGGGTGCTCGAGCCCTGGAGCACCTAAGGGGAAAATTTGGTGGGTGCAAAGCACCCACCGGCAGCTCCCTGCCCCACCCCCAGCCCCATCTCACCTACGCTCCGCCTCCTCCCCTGAATGCACCGCCCCGCTCTGCTTCTCTGCCCCCCCAGGCTTCCCGCGAATCAGCTGTTCATGCGGGAAGCTGGGGGCAGATTGAGAAGCAGGCCGCCAGCTTCCTGCTCAGGCCCAGGGATGCACAGGTGAGCTGGGGCGGGGGGGCGCAAGGAGGGCTGCCCGCACTGCAGCAGGTAACCTGGTGGAGGCGGGAAGCCGCCGCCTGCTTCTCTGCCCCCCCTTACCCCCGGCTTCCCGCCGAACAGCTGATTCGCACGGGAAGCCGGGACAGGCTGAGAAGCAGGCCGCGGCTTCCCGCTCAGGCCCAGGGATGCGCAGGTGAGCTGGGGCGGGGGGGGGCGCGAGGAGGGCCGCCCGCGCAGCAGCAGGTAACCGGGGGGAGAGGTGCACAGGGGAACCACTCCCCACCCCAGCTCACCTCTGCCTCCCTGGGCCTGAGCGGGAAGCTGCTGCCTGCTTCTCAGCCTGCCCTGGCTTCCCGACGAACAGCTGATTTGTGGGAAGCCGGGGGGGGGGCACGGAGAAGCAGAGCGGGGCGGTACTTTCAGGGGAGGAGGCGGAGGTGATCTGGGGCTGGGCGCGGAGCTGCCAGTGGGTGCTCTGCACCCACCAATTTTCCCTGTGGGTGCTCCAGCCCCAGAGCACCCAGGGAGTCAGCGCCTAAGGTGCCACTTTTGATGTGACCAGTGGGGGAGCCGCCGCTCCCGCCCTAGCTACGCT